GCCAAACATTCATTGCGCTATTATTGAACTGAGGTGACCAGAAATGTCCCTATTTTGCTGAAAAATATTTGATAATGTGGTTTTTAATAAACATATATTAAATTAACAACACAAATGTATGATATTTTTATATTCTTTTATATTATTAAATCTTATTAATATTATAAATGTCAAAGTTAAGATGGATGGAGGGATGGATGTTTGTTAGAGTTTGTAGCCTAAACGGCTGAACGGATCTCGATGGAATTTGGTACAGAAGAAAAGGATAGTCTGGAAGTACACATAGGCTACTTACTTTTGTTTTTTTAAATCCTATGGACGTTGTTGCGGGTGAAAACTAGTAGTTATAAACATGTAATAGACAGTTTTCCGTAACTTTTAGCGAAGATTCGCCGGCAAACACTAGTCTGAATCGTAAACCATCCTTACGTAAGTACCGTTCTCTTTTATCGTTATATTAAATGGGCTAATGAAAGAAACGTTTGTACCGCAACCGCAGTATATCGAACGCTCGAGTTATATTGGCCTACAATGAGGAATATATTAATATTGATTGAACGATCAGAGAAAACTTGCACTTCCTGTGCGTTAGAGTGGTCGATCATACACACTGATTTATTTTTACCCTACTAGTAGGGTAACGTTTTTCTAAAGTACGAGTATGCATATTTAAACCATACGTCATACTATTATGAATGCAAAAGTTTATATGGATGGCTGTTTGTTAGTTTGTAGCCTAATCTACTGAACGGATCTCAATGAAAGTTGGCATAGATGTAGAGGATAGTCTGGAAGAACACATAGACTACATACTTTTGTTTTTTTCCACGCTGACGGAGTCAAAGGCTTGTATCCTACTTTAACAAATTACATTTGAAGCGTATCTATACTATTATAATAAAGCGTAAACAAACACTTCTTTGTTGCCTAAGATGTCACATTTTCGTAGAAAACAACGTAAAACCCCGACGAAAAGAAGTTACGTTGATTGTTTCTGCGAACTTGACACGCTGAGGTCAAGGACTTGGGAATAACAGTAATTATGAAACGATGTGTTCAGTGTTTTAATGGATTTTAAAGTTTAAGCGTTGTTTTATCCTTTACGCTGTTACGTATTGTTATGTCGTTTTACCATTCGGCCGTAATTTCCATCTAGATTAGAGGTTCCCAAATTAATTTTCCTCGCGGACCGCAAAGACATTCAAGAAATATGTACACTAGATAAAAGGAACAACATTTTGTACACCGGTAACTTCTTTGTACTGTAATATTTTAAAGTCAAATTTGACACGCCAAGACTTTCAGTGTTTGAATTATTTGTCCATCCGATTTTTAATTTAATTCCCAATCGAACACCAGGTAGCGCTAGTGAGATTATGTTAAAAATATGTCATGTGTAATCAACTGTGCTTATTCTATATTTTTTATAATCTTTGATGGACCCTTATGTTAAGCGACGAGACGATGATAAACCAGAAAGTGTTAAGAATGAATGTGGATGGCTACAAAGGAAGAGGAAGACCGAAGAAAGTATGGATTGTGTGAAAGAGGATATGCTTAAGAAAGGAGTGGATTCAGATATGACGGCTGATAGATATGTATGGAAGAGCAGCACATACTGTGCCGACCCTCCGTAAGGGATAAGGGCAAGTGGATGTTGATGATGATGATGGACCCCTTCCAAAAAATTCTAGAATTCGGAGGATTAGACTCATATGCTCTAGTTTGGATAGCGTTTGAAGCCGTTATTTCTGCATGGTCGCCAGTTAATCTGAGTTAGGTTTAGACACTATTATGTTACAAGCTTTCGCCCGCGATTCCGTCCGCGAGGAATTAGAAAAAAAACAAAAGCAAGTAGCCTATCTGTTCTTCCAGATTATCCTCTACATCTATACCAAATTTCATCGAAATCCGTTTACAGTTTAACAAACTCTAACAAACATCCATCTTTCCATCCATCCATCCATCTAAACATTCACATTTATAATATTAGTATGAAGTATGATTACAGATATGATAGTTTTTATATATTTTAAATTTCTCGATTCACTAAGGGTGAGGACAGTTGCTCTGACGACGCCCCTATTATTGATTTCTTACTGCCGAAACGTTTTCGCCTGCATAATATTCCCATTTGTATAATTTATCCGGAAGATTCCGCGCCGGATATTAAAGATGTCGTCTTCAATTTCTATGATTCAAATTAGCGTTAATATGTGTTACGTAATCAATCAGTAGAGCAATTGTATAAAAAAATATTCGACTGTTAATTTTCAGGTGTGTGCACGCGCTTTTGTTTTTTTTTACCGACATCCCAAAAGAAGGAGGTACTTAATTATATGTATGTATGTTTTGTTTTTATTTTGTGAGTTAGAGCATAAGTCCGCCGCTAGTGGACCGATTTTGATAATTCTTTTTTATACCAAAAGTGATGCTTGCAGGGTCCCATTTTTTGTTTGATTTTTGGAATCAAAGACTAGGACGTAGCTAAATAGTTTTTTAACACTTGTTTTAAGATTGATAATGACGTGAGTTAATAAACAAATTGATAATGAGTCTGTTAGACTGTGTTTTTAATTTAAAATGAGACCTAGGTACTTGTGTGCATATTTAAATGTAGTTCAAGTATTGCATCATAAGCCTAACGCATCGACCTCAATTTCTCTTGTACTAAAGAGATATTAATCTGCTTTTAAAATAAAATATTTATAACAATGTGTAATACCATAATATGTATTTAAAACATGCTACCTCGTAGCTAAATTTGTAGAAACAATATAAGGATACTAAAGTTTTGATCCTCGAAGAGATATTTAGCATTTTCAAATGATAAAATATTACAAATTGTTCGCATAGAAAAAACACACAGACGAATTGAGTACCTCCTTTTGGGAAGTCGATCAAAAAGGGAAAGATTTTCACTAACCGTATTCTTTTTAGTTTTACCCACTCTCCCCGATTTGATGTAGAGTTTCGAGCTCTTGTTGCTGTATATCTTTCGATTTGTGAACCCTCGGTTTTATTTTTTCCCGGTTCTGTTGTAGATCCTATTGAATCCTAGGTCCCTCATTATCATCATCCTCCTTATCCTACTCCCGTAGGGTCGGCATAACAGGTTTTTGTCCTCCAAATAACTCCATCATACGTCATCTCAGCCATCACTCCCTTTTGGATCATGTCACCTTTCACGCAATCCATCCATCTCTTATGTATAACTCACGATTTAGGAAGGTTCTGCTTCAAAGCTGAATGGAGTTAATTTATCTTAATTGCATATTGTTCTTATCTATACATATAATAAAATTGGAGTGTCTGTTTGTAATATCAAAAATAAATTTCCAGAATTTCGGGAAGTTGATTGAACGCAAATACGCGTTGATAACGAAAATCGCATTAAAAAAATTGTCTGTCTGTATGTCCGTATTATAGGATACTTTTTGACCGACTTCCCAAAAGAAGGAGGTACTCAAAATATCCATATGTTTAATTTTTATGTGTGTTACGTCATAACTCCGCCGCTAGTGGACCGATTTTGAAAATTCTTTTCTTATCCGAAAGGCAGTGCTTGCTGGTGTGTCCCATTTTTTTGTTTGATTTTTGGAGTCAAAGACTACGACGTAGTTAAATAGTTTAGGTTAAAATCGCGCGACGAAATGTGGGGTCTTTTTTACTTTCTTTGCTTATTTATCTTAATATTGCGTGGACGAAGTCGGAGGAACAGTTAGTGTTCTAATTGCTTCAATACAATACGAAATCGTTTTCGTTCCTGATCATTACATTATCGATATATATTTAGTCCGTATTAATTTTAAATACAGACTAAATATGTGTAAACATAGTTATGATACAAACACGTGTATTAACGTGATGATAAGAATTTAAATATCTTGAAGTTTTAGGTTTATTTGTTCTTTTAATTACGGTAACTCATTGTATTTAGAGAGATTAAATTATTTTATTGTCAATTTAGCTGTTTCCGTGCGACTTCATCCGCATAAAATTGTGAAATTTTTATTTTATTGTTTACATGTCTCAAATTATTAATTGCAAATGTTAAAATGACATGACACGATGACAATCCATGATAATTTTGTTTCCTTGTTGGCAGCAACTTATGGTCTCTTTCTCACATTAGGTTTTTTATTCAAAATATTTAACCCCGTTTAATGGCGTGAAAATATATAGTCTAAAGCGTGACGTAAGTGTAGGGCTTTTTATTGCAAAAGGATTTATTCAAAAATATGTTGTAATTGCTGACATCTTAGGCAACAAAGAAGTGTGTGTTTACGCTTTATTATAATGGTATAGATATAGATAGGCTATACGACGTAGTTTATTGTTCCTTGTGTGTTTTTGTACTATAATTTCGTTGTCTCATATATTTTTTTACCATTAGTAAGTAATATTATAAAATAAAATAGTAAACTGTTTATTAATAACTAGCTTACGCCCGCGACTCCGTCCGCGTCGTAATAAAAAAACAAAAGTGAGTAGTGAGTAATCTATGTGTTCTTCCAGACCGTCCTCTACATCTATACCAAATTTCATTGAAATCCGTTCAGCCGTTTAGGCTACAAACTCTAACAAACATCCATCTATCTAAACTTTCGCATTTATGATATTAGTATAAGTATGATTGTTTTAAAGCCGTACACTATGTTTATAAGAAACAATTTGTGAGTATTTGATATTATTTGTATACATTAAAACCAGTTATATTTGGTACGCGACGGACGGCGGTCGGCTTGAAAATTTCTCTTGACGACAGTATAAAAATTGTTTACAAACTTGTAGGCAGGTGATCATGTAAACGATAGGTAATAGATATGTACATTAAAACAAACAAAATGGAAGCATTAAATGATTAAAATAGTGATTTAAACGTTTTGTTATCAAACATTTGTAAGTAGGTGAAATATGTGTCACTTGAGGGTCTATTTTGAACGCCTTAAAATGTTTATTTTTATTATTTCGAACGATGTTACCTATTAAGAACTCACCGGCTTGTCATACTTCTTAAGGAGACCTTCAGTCATTTTCTAAAATGTGATAAAATCGCCGCTGCTCGTGCGGTGACGGATGACATCTGTAACAGGCCGTCGAGGTCATGATATTGGCGGGCTTATCCACAAACATAAAACACAACAAATGCATTAAATCTCACTTGTGGTACGTTGAACGTAAACAAAGATGCATGAAGGCTGCTCTTGATTCCCGGTGGGAAGTCAAACTCGCGGCATTTCTGACAGAACTACGTAAAGGCGGGTTTATCACTGAATCATTCGTTGAATGACACGACGAATGGGAGCGCGGCGGGCACGGGGAAGGCGCGGGGCGAGCGCGGCATGCGAATGACGTGAGCACTCCGTCCTCCGAACGAGCTTCCTCTTCCCTCTTCGCTCTACGCAATACAAATTGTCCGGACGTTCCGTTTCACGAAAATATAAGCTATCTATACTAATATTATAAAGAGAAAATATTCGTATTTTTGTATATATTGATTTAAAAAAAGATTTCAGCGTTAGAAAGGTAATTTTTCTATAAGTAACACAGTCCATATTTTAATTTCACGGGAGCAAAGTCGTGAGCAATAGCTTGTATTAAATAAAAAGTAAGTATTTAGTTCATTTTTCATTAAAACATTGTAGAAATAAATAAACTTAAATTACTTTTAAGCATAGAACACTAGTAAAATTTTATAACACAGAACGCAATTTAAATAAGTTGCTGTTTACATAAAATTATAAGAGATGGCGGTAAAATAAAACTTTAAAAACAAAAAAGATAACTAAAGTTATGTAATTTATTAAAGTTGCAATGAAAGAATGACGCATAAAAAATGAGAATGATTATTTTTTGCATGCTAATCATGAGTATATTGTAAAAAAAATTAGCAACGTAAATAACATAATAAATTCTGCTAATTTATTCTGTAAGTCGTTGAATTTATTTTTGTACGTTACGCGACGACGTTTTATTGCTTTTAAAAATTAACAGGCGTATACTACATTGTATTCAAAGTTCAAAGTATGACGAAAATCATAAATCATGTTTTCAAGGATATTAGGAAATGGACAAAATCTAAATCCGTCCAATATGCAAAAGATGTCTATTAACACATTTCAGTAAAACGGATTTTTGAGAAAAATAATATCATTTGTAAATCTGCTACTACTGTCATCCATGAATTCCTGTTTATGAGCACGCGCACACCATTGACTAAACTATGGCGCAACTGTGGCTGGAACCCATGCTTTTGATTTTGAGTTGATATTCCGAGAGTTCGAACAAAGAAGTTTGAGTCATCGTTCCTTGTACTGCAAAGGTTTGGAATAAGTTGCCAGCGTCGGCTTTTCCGTCCAAATATGACGTAGGGAACTTCAAGAAAAGAGTGAATGAGTATTTATTAGGGTAGCTTGTACCATATTTCGACCACATCTTCACTCTCAGTCGGTGGGATCAAGTCAAGCGCTAGGTTAAAAACTTAAAAAAAAAACCGTTTAATCCCACTTTGATTCTTATTAGTTTACATGGAGTGCACTATTTAGTTGTGCAACTAAATAGTTGGATTGGCTGCGAAACAATCGACAATCGCACAATAGTCGTGCAATAATTTAGTCAAAGGTGTGTACCCGCTCTTACACTCTGTACAAAAATGTCTTGTATTTCTGGCATAATAACCTACTATTTGCAAGCAAGACTATGGCCTAATCACCCCTTACTTAGGGTAAGCTCAGACCCCTTTGTGGGCATATAAAGTGAGACGATGACTGCATAATAAGTATAAAAAAAATTGTAATACAAGCATTGTGGGGTCACTAGGTTATAATACTTTGGTTTCGATGCGGTATTTTTGCCGCATAGAACAAATTACATGTCTGTTTTTTGGCACGCCTACTCTATGTTACTATTGTGAACATGTTTCGATGGTTAAAATCACTTGTTATTTATGGGAAAACATTATAAAGTAACTCTACTTTTCTTTTGTCTATTAGTACTTCATTGCAGGTAGCGATACATTTGTTGCATGTTATTTATTGGAAAAATTATTAATTAACTAGCTTTAGCCTGCGAATTCGTCCGCGTGGTATAAAAAAACGAAAGTGACTAGCCTATGTGTTCTTCCAGACTATCCTCTGCAACTATAACAAATTTCATCGCAATCCGTTCAGCCGTTTAGGCTACAAACTCTTACAAACATCCATCCATCTCAACTTTCGCATTTATAATATTTATATGACATGTATTGAAGTGTAATTCAGTGATTCTAAAAGTGATCCTGCCGGATCCCCACAGATCCTCCGGCAGGGTCCTCGATCGCTGGAAACAAGGGACTCTACGTTTGACTGGTTTTGAACATTGAACCACTAAAAACTAATAAGAAAGGGGGACCACGGAAATGGGAAGTTTGGGGATCTCAGGTCAATAGCTTGACTGAATTGTTATTTATTTTACTAATCGTACTCGTTAATTATCCGTGATGCCATTAACAAGTTGCGATGGAATGAATCAATTTGCTCTTATCCCTACAGTCGGCACAGTATGTGCTCTTCCATACAGTTCTATCAGTCGACATATCTGAATCCACTCCTTCCTACGCATATTCTGTTTCACACAATCCAATCCATACTTGACATACTTTGCCGGTGGAGTGAAAAGAAAATTACAATCAGTTCAGTTTCAGCTTCTTTGTGTTTCAAAATTTCTTTGTAACCTTTGCTCACCATTAACGTGAACTTATTTGAATTTCTTGAAACTTCCAAAGCAAAATTATTTGTTGTCTATACTAGTATTATAAGAAGAACTTTGTTTGATTGATTGTAATGAAATAGTTCAAAAACTACTCGGCCGATTTTAGAAATTCTTTCACCATTAAAAAGCTACGTTGTCAGTGAGTAATATAGACTATGTTTTAAACTATTTTTTATTCTCACGCGGACGGAATCACGGGTGAAAGCTAGTTTTTTATATACTTTATTGCTTTTAGCGATACAGGATGTACTGATTCTAGGAATAAAATAATACCTAATTTAATCAGTTTCTTTGATCTATGTTATCGATCCGACTGACACTGGCACGTCATAAACTGATGACCGATGACGAATTATTATAAAGAAAAAAATCATTGTGACTACAATGACAATTAAAAAATACATTTTTTTATTAACAACCAGCTGTTGACTTCAGCTTCGTATACTTTTTAAAATATCTTCGATGTAAATATGCGCTTATTAACTCACCAATAAACAAGTAAATTAATTAATCAACAAGTCTGACAAACTTTACTTCTTATTTATAGTGATCTTGTTACGGGATTCGAACGGATTAGGGTCTTACGTATTAAAATGTTCGGAGAATTTCACTTGGCACGTCGGAGGCAAGATTACTTTAGCATTCGACGTGTCAACTCTACCTTTAAAAATAATATACTGTCCAATTTTCTTATTTTTGTAAAAATAAGTAGATTTTGAATTTTCAAACATACATTTCTGTATTAAAAGTAGGGTTGTAACGGAACTTCACTTCCGCATCTGCAAGTGAGGAATTTCCGCAAGAAATGATAACTCCGCGTTCGCTTCCGTTATTTCTTTTGTGTAGTTATAACGGAGGTCAATTTACGTCTATAACGTGAGTGGGGCGATTAGGTATCCTTTATGCGGGCGTGATGTGTCAACTAACTTTAATTGTTATACATTATATTTGCATAATAAACTATGTCTTGTAACTATGTACCAATCTTTATTTTGAATTAACTTTAGTTTTTAATAAATCGCAATTAATATTTTATTATTACCCTCCGTTTATGGAGAGGTGACGTACTCGCCTCCGCATCCGCATCCGCTTCCATTAGAACGGTCTCCGTTACAACCCTAATTAAAAGTATTGATGAATTTATAAGATATTTTTAAATACAATTATCATCGTTCGCATCTCATCATTTGCATCTAGGATTTGATGAGTGATTTCAATCATAAATTTAATCTACCACAGATTATCATATTTATAATCTTGATTGAGATGGTAGGGATAACCACCAGTAGCGGTGTTTGATATTTCAATAGAATTAAAGAAAATTCTTGTTAATATAATCTACGACACGTTGTTTACTTTGACAAGATAACAATAATAACAAGTATTTAAATTAATATACAAATAAATAAATATATTGATGGTTCCGATATGTTAAATAGTTTAAAATCAGATAATAAGAATTAACTTGGGCGTTACCAGCCGATGAGGTAGAGCGTGTCGAAAGCCGAATTTTAGTCCACTTCCCTTTCCATCTTCTTCTTATATGAAAACTAGAGAAGGGAAAGGTGATTTGTAGTTGAGATGCACAGGAAGGTGTATAAATACTCTTTACGTGCGTCTCTTCCTTTGTCTATTAAGGGTAGTTGTCATCAGCAATTGTGGCTGTCTATGGGCAGAGGTCGCTTCCCATTTTCAGTGATTTCAGGTGTCCGTTCGCTCGTTTGCAACATAATGTAACTAAAAAATAGTTAGGTTTTAAAGTAGTTTCTATATCAATTTTACATTTTTCGAAACTATAATTCAAAAGATAGTTTATTAGCTTGTATTGACAGTGACTAGGCGTTTCGTCTGATGAATGTGTGTGTCGTCATCATCCACTTGCCCTTATCCCTTACAGAAGGTCGGCACAGTATGTGCTGCTCTTCCATACATCTTTATCAGACGTCATATCTGAATCCACTCCTTAAGCATATCCTCTTTCACATAATCCATCCATACTTTCTTCGGTCTTCCTCTACCTTTGTAGCCATCCACATCCAATCTTAACACTTTCTGGTTTATGCTCCCATCGTCTCGTCGCATGTCATGCCACGCTAACAGTTTGCTTCTCATTTTCTACACCACTGGCGCTACATTCAAACTTCTTCTAATATACACATTCTTAAATTTTTCGGACGCCTAATTTTAGTCATGTTTCCCTTCCCACTGTTTAATATGACGAATAATGAGACGGGTAAGGGTAAGTATTGAGTTGGCGGAGTAGAACGCATATAGAGGAATGTATCCCCTAACTTATAGATTAAAAGTTGATGCATCTTTAATTGCGGATGTAAAGGGCAGCGGTCGTTCCCCTGAATTCCGAGAGTTAGGTCAATCTGTATTTTTTTTATTGCGCGGGACGTGCCGAAATATTCATGCTAAGATGTTAAGGCGGGCTCTACCACTGTTAAAGTGTAGTTTTTTAAAGTGGTAGATTTTTTTAATTTACTAGTAATATAGGATGTTTCCTGGGTTGATTTTATTTCTGGTTCGATCGATCGTAGGATTGGCTCATCTGGAAACACCCGTTATCAACTAGGATAATGACTTAGTGACTTGAATTCTTGGCACTTACAGAGCATAAAACAAAAAAGCAAAGTTGTAATTATTCTAGGTATAATTGCCATGAGCATATTTATCGGCTCACGCCCTGTCAGATATGATAAGGTGATTATTAAAAATGTAAAGTTCGAAATTTAAATTATCGAGTATATTTCCGTTACCAAAATTATCGAAAACTTCGATTGATAATGACTCAACGCGGTATGAATAACAGCCGACTTGTAAAGGGAATACAGGTCAAATTGCTGATGTTTACAAAGGGTTATTCATTTAAGAACCTAAAATATCGAATTACTGTTTAGTCCCGCTTTGATACCTATGAGGTTACATGGAAGTGCGCACTACTCGATTTTTAGTTGTGGAACTAAACAGTTGAATCG